GCACAGCCTGAGCCTCCGTCCCGATTTTTGCTAAGTGCTTTCACACAGCTTGCCGAGATCGATGAGATGCAGGCGGCTGCGACCTCCAGACACTACCCGTGGATGAGAAGACAAAAGAGAAGTGGTTTACGTTTGACAAACACTCATCTGCTCTGCATGTAGCTCCTTGGGAAATCTGAGGAACAATGCAAGGGGGACGTAAAAGGTTGAAGTTCATGACCCAGTAGGAAACGCCCGGCAGAACCACGCTGGTTGCAGAAGCACTGGCTCTCGCAGATTCCTCCCCACACACCCAGACCTTCCAGAGTCTGCGACATTCATACTACAAACAAATGAATCCAGATGATCCTCATATGGTTGGACTGAATTGAGATTTCGGAGAAAACTGATTGTCTAATTAAAGGAGGATATGCTTCTACCCGAATGTCTCTTGAATAGCAGAATTCTGAAACTCATCAGGTTAGAAGACTGAATGGCTCTTGAGGATCACCTGCTTTGGTGCTCATTACACAGAACCCAACCTAAAGCTCAGCAGGAATTGGGTTGCAAACCCAAGGCAAAAATCAGGAAGAAACAACAACCAGGTGCATAGACAGCAAGACCCAACTACTTGCTGAGTGTCTGCCAAGGGCCAGGTGGGGTACACACATCAGTCTCATCCACTGCCCATGATAGAACATAAGCTAAATACGATGATCCTTTCTTTATTGATGAGAAAATTACAGTCAGAAACGTTAAGTAACTTGCCCATGAGCACATTCTTGCCGCTGAAGTTCAGGGAGACCAAGGTGCCAACAATTTACAAGACAGAGCGCTGCGAGGAGAGAACTCCAGATACCTGCAGGAAGCCTCAAGGGTTCGGCTGAGGACTGGGGGCACATCTGGTATAGTTTAGTGTCCGTGTCCTCCAAATCTCCTGTTGAAAGTTGACCCTCCATAGTTGGAGATGGGGCCGTTCACCCCCATCACCCAAACCACCTCCCACCAGGGGTCCATCACTGAGGACACAGGCCTTATGCTGAAAAGTGATCCTCAGTGTTGGAGATGGTGGTCTGGTGGGAGATGTTTGAGTCTTGGGGGTGGAGCCTTCGTGAACACTTGGTTCTCTTCCCATGGTAATGAGTGAGTTTCCTGCTCTTCAAGTTCATGCAAAGCTGGTTGTTTAAAAGAGGCTATCACCTTCCCTGCTTTCTCCCCTGCTCCTCTCTCTCGCCACGTGACATGCCTGCTCTCCTTCCACCTTCCACCGTCATCGTAAGCTTCCTCTGAGGCCTCACCAGAAGCAAATGCTGGTGCCACACTTGCATCGCCTGCAGAACTATGAGCAAAATAAACCTTTTTAGAAATTTACCCAGCCGCAGGTGTTCTTTAATAGCAATGCAAAAGGGACTATCGCAACATTCATGTGAGAAAACTATTTTCAAGGCTCAGAAGTTAACCATCTAAAAAGACTGGAGACGATGCTGCACAGCACTCACGTAAAGCCAGGAAGAGGGCCACGTCCTAACAGCCAGTCGGGAAAACGTTAAGCTTCACAGGGCATTGGGTTGAATACCCAGAAGGATTTCCCATACCTAGCCACAGACTGAGCACTGACCTGATCCCATCTAACACATATTAAAAGCGGAAACACAAAAAAAAGTGATCAAACTGTTTCCAAGTAATGCAACTACATCTTAAAAAATACTTAAGAATATTTACAAAGTACAAAGATATCTAGCCCTAAATACTCAATAAAAACCAACCAGGCACATAAAGACTTAGGAAAATGAGACCCATAATGAAGAGATTATTTAAACCAACCAACCAACATCTAGCATAGATGTTAGAATTGACAGAAACAGCTATTTAGTAAAACAGTTATTCCGACTGTATTTCAAATGTTCAAAAAGCGAAGTAGAAACGTAATATATATTTCAAAAGACACAAAACTGAACCTCTAGACATAAAAACTACAATATGTGAGATAAAAAAAACACTACATGAGATTAATGGCAGATTAGAGATTGCAGAATGCAAAAACAGTAAATTTGAAGATCTAGCAATAAAATTATTCAGAATAAAATATACAGGGAAAATTTGAAACCCCCCCCACACACACAAAAAAACAAACAGCAA